AGTAGGAGGGAGGAGGAGGGAGGAGGAGGAGGAGGAGGATGGAGGCGAGGAGGAGGAGGGGGAGGGGGAGGAGGAGGGGGACGGGGGGAGGAGGAGGAGGGAGGAAGGTAGGAGGAGGAGGAGGAGGAGGCGGAGGAGGAGAGGAGCGAGGAGTGAGGTAGGAGGAGGGAGGGAGGGTAGGAGGGTAGGAGAGGAGGGAGGGAGGAGGGAGGGAGGGGGAGGGAGGCAGGAGGGAGGAGGGAGGAGGCAGGAGGGTGAAGAGGACTAGCGGCCCGCCCGAGGGTGGGAAGCGGATGGGGGCGGGCCTTCTCGGAAGGCTCGGACGGCGGCGTTCTGTGACGCTGTCTGAGACTTCTCCTAAGACGGGGCCAGCACGAGGATAAACTCGGGCGAGGATTAGTCGGGAATCCTTGAGATCTGGCGGCTCTGGAAGATGTCTCGGGCGCCGCGGCCTTCGCAGAGCGGTCTGGAACGCTCTGGAACGGAGTTCTTCTCGTCCGAGCCCCGTCCGATCTCGCCTATCTGGACGAGGAAAACAATCCCCACACCCACCGGGGAAACCTTGGCCCCGTTGGGCAATCTGCCCCGTCTGGGTGGGGATGGGTGCCGTCTCCTTCAGGCTTCGGAGCACCCGTCCCCACCTAGAGGGGGTGCGCTGGAGAGTCTGAGCCTTCTCCGAAACCGCGGAAGGCTTCTTCCCAGGAGGCCGGAAGGCTGACTACCTGCCGGACCACCCCAACCCAACCCGAAGACCCCATTTTCGGGCTGTGGGGGCTCCACACGTGTTTTTGCTTCAATGCTCCCCGCCGCTACCCCCACTGGTGGGAGTGGAGGAGTGGAGGGCACATTGGGGCCTTCGGGTTGGGTTGGGGTGGCTTGGTGGGTGGCGAAAGGCTTCCGACCAGCCCCGCGGCCTTCCGAGGAGGTCCGCCCCTCTCACCTCCTCCCTCCGCGCGCCGCCGGTGCTGCGACATCGACCTGGCACTGGCGACTCGTCGCCGACAGATCGGCGATAGGCCCCCCGTAGCGAATCGACACGCTCCTGGGCGGGGTGGGCCATCGGGCCCCTATCGGCGATCACTGGGCGATGCGGGGCCGATGCATCCTGAGCCTGTCCCCCCCTCCTGCCGTCGCTACCTGCCATCCTCGAGAAGAGGGTGGACGACGACGAGGACGTGAAAGAGACGGCTGCCGCAGCAACCCGCAGCAGCAGCAGCAGCAGCAGCAGCAGCAGCAGCAGCAGCAGCGGCAGCAGCGGGAGCAGCAGCGGGAGCAGCAGCAGGAGCAGCAGCGGGAGCAGCAGCGGGAGCAGCAGCGGGAGCAGCAGCGGGAGCAGCAGCGGGAGCAGCAGCGGGAGCAGCAGCGGGAGCAGCAGCGGGAGCAGCAGCGGGAGCAGCAGCGGGAGCAGCAGCGGGAGCAGCAGCGGGAGCAGCAGCGGGAGCAGCAGCAGCAGCAGCGGGGAGCAGCGGGGAGGCAGCAGGGGGAAGCAGCAGCGGGAGCAGCGGGGAGCAGGCCGCGGCGAGCAGCCGCGGGAGCAGCAGCGGGAGCAGCAGCAGCCGCAGCGGGAGCAGCAGCGGGAAGCAGCAGCAGCCCGCAGCAAGCAGCAGCTGGCAAGCAGCTAGCAGCAGCAGCCGCAGCAGCCCGCGCAGGCAGCAGGAGGAGGAGCAGGAGGAGGAGGAGGAGGAGGAGGAGGAGGAGGAGGAGGAGGAGGAGGAGGAGGAGGCAGGACCCCCGCGTGGGGTGGGGGGCGGGCTGCGGCGCGCGTCGCGGCCTGGAAGGCCGCGATGCGTCGAGACAGCTCCGCCATCTGGTCCGCGAGGCTCTGCTCGAGCTGCCGCAGCGCTCCGAGGTCGGCCTCCTCGGGGGCAGGGGAGGCAGGCGAGACGAGGGGAGCACGGGGATGAACTCGGGGGAGGATCGATCGAGGAGCTCTGAGGTCCGGCGGCTCCGGAGGATGCCTCGGGCGCCGCGGCCCGCTCAAAGCGGCCCGGAACGCTCCGAGAGCGTTCTGGATTACGGATCTATCCTCGTTCCAGCCCCGTGTGAGGAGGGGAGAAGTGGGGGACTGCTGGGGGGGTGGGGTGGGGGCTTGCCCAGGGGAGGATTAGGAGGAGGAGGAGGAGGAGGAGGAGGAGGAGGAGGAGGAGGAGGGCAAGCTAGGTGCGCTCGCGCAACATCTGACATCCTACCTCATCCCTCTGGCCCCTTCCCGTTGCGCTGCTTTCTTCTCCGTCCGCCAACTGGTGTCATAACAGACCTGGGGCACACAAAAGGGCCCCATCGTGTCACCCGCAATCTGAAAGAGGGGAGCTGTGCACGTTGGGGGAGTAGGTGGCGGATGCGCAGGGATGAGCAGGAAGAGGATACGCATGAGGAAAGAGGAGGACGAGGAGAACCAGCAGTAGGAGCAAGATACGCGGGACGAGCAGGAGGATTAGGGGAAGGCGGGAGAAGGGGGGATGAAGGGGGCGAGAACGACGAAGGAACACTCGGATTTAGAACTGTGGCTCGCGCTGGGGCGACAACGCCATCCTGAACGACGGGGGTAAAAAACGCCGATCTCAAGATGAGACCGACGCTGCAGCGGGAGGGCAATTCTGGAAGGGCCGAACGCGTTCGGAGTGAGCAGCACACACACAGACCCAACGAACAAAACAACTGGGACCAATCTTTCGCAAAAAATACCATACGCAAAGGGGGGCGCGCTGTTCTCAGCTCGTCCTCGGGGGAGAGAAAGAGAGCGAACGAGAGAGAGAGAGAGAGACAAAACGAAAATGTAAGAGTAAGAGAGAGAGAGAGAGAGAGGAGTAGCACTTGTGTTGAGCAGCTGTCACAAAGGATGTGAGGAGGGGAGGAAGGGTGGGGGACAGGGCGGGGGGAGGGGGCGGTGGGAGAGGGCCTGACGAGGGGGGCGGGAGGTGGGAGCTGAGCATTCACTACGCAAGGGAAGGAGAGGAGGGGGCGGAGGAGGAAGGAGGGGGAGGCGGAGGAGGAGGAGGAGGGGGGCGGAAGGAGGAGGAGGAGGAGGAGGAGGAGGAGGAGGAGGAGGAGGAGGGGAGAGGAGGAGGAGGAGGAGGGAGGAGGGAGGAGGAGGAGGAGGAGAGGAGGAGGAGGAGGAGGTGGATAATGGGCAGGAATGAGGAGTAGGAGAGGAGGGGGATGAGGAGAGGAGGAGGAGGGAGGAAGGAGGGGCGGAGGAGCGAGGAGGAGGAGGGAACGAGGATGAGGGGGCGGAGGAGGAGGAAGGAGGTAGGAAGGAGCAGGAGAAGGGCGGCGGAAGGGGGAGGAGCGGTATGGAGGGGAGGAGGAGGAGGAGGAGGTAGGCGGAGGAGGAGGAGGAGGAGCAGGAGAAGGCGGAGGCGGCGGCGCAGGCGGGAAGAAGGCGGTGGAGGAGGGAGGAGGCAAGGAGGAGGCGGAGGAGGAGGAGGAGGAGGAGAGGAGGAGGATGAAGAGGATGAGGCGGAGGAGGAGGAGGAGGAGGCGGAGGAGGAGGCGGAGGAGAAAAGGGAGAAGGCGGAGGAGGAGGAGAAGGAGGAGGAGGGGGAGGCGGCGGAGGAGGAGGAGGAGGAGGGGGGAGGGAGAAGGAAGGAAGGAGGAGGAGGAGGAGGAAGAGGAGGAGGAGGAGGAGGGGGAGGATGAGGCGGACGGAGGAGGAGGAGGCGAAGGAGGGGGGGGCGTCGCTCGACCCTGGCCCGTCCCCTGGGGCGGGCGTAGCCCTTCCACTGCCGGCGCGCCGGCCGCGGGGAGAAAGCGAGGAAGTGCTAGGTCGGGCGTGTCCCCCTACAGGGTTTCTTTTGGACGAGAGGAACAAGTACACTAAAGAAACTGCTCAAGAATAGTCAACACATCGTCCCCAGACTATTTCTTTCGACGACTTTTGAGTATTCCTCCTGTGCAGAGGGACAGGCCCGATGTTGAATCCGATGTTGATGGTGATACGCGTGCGAGGGAGGAGGGGCGGCGGGGGTAGGGCGGCATCGGCACGGGACAGGCGGCTCCCGAGGGAGATCCGGCCCGGGGTTCCCCGGGAAGCTCCCGCCGAGGCGGCAAGACGGAAGCCCAAAGGCCGACGACGGCGACGTCGACGTCGACGTCGACATGCCGGACTCAGAGGCCAACGATCAGGTCGGGCGGCTTCTGAAGGAACATAGGAGTTAGCCAGAAAAATTGTCAACAAGAGCACCTCGAGCACGAAACATCTCGGCCAGACCATTTTTCACTGTTCTTGAACACTCCTCCTGTAGACTTGCACCAGCGACGACGAAGCTTTGGTGGCACCTCTTTGGAGCCTCCCATGCCATCTGGTTGGTTCTTGCGAATCGACGCTCGTCGACGCTCGTCGACGCTACATTCGCGCTAAATCATCGAATGCCAGACGCTAATCGACGCTCGTGCTTTCTAGAAACGGACTTACGAGGGTGCACAAGGCTTCCATCCTGTGGAATCGAACGAGGCTGAACTCGCCGCCCCCTCCTGTCGGGCGTTGGCAGAACTGGGCTTAGTGGGACCTGGTTTAATGATGTGTACTGGGGGACGCCCCCCTGCCCCGTCCCACTAACCGGAGCTGCCGTCACCCGAAAAAAACGCCAGCTACGGCAGACCTGGTTTAATGATTCTGGCCAATTTAGGGGCTCCAGGGCCCTACCACTGACCGGGTCCCCTTACCTTGGGTCCTGGCTATACCCGATCCTCTGCCCTCACCGCGGCCGGGCCGCGCCCTCGCGCTCTGCTCGCCGGCGGGTTCCGCGACAGCCCTCTGAGAGCCGATGCGCCGCCGGCATTGCGCTGTCCCCATCGTACTGAAGGGCCACATCCCAGGACTGAGTTCGAGCACCCGCAGAAGTGTCGAAGCAGTGTCGAGGCAGTGACGGACAAGTGCCCCCCCCATGGCCCGAAAGGCGAAAAATCCTCGAGTTTTGGTGCTTTTTTCTGGTGTCGGCAACTCTTTCTCTGGTGATCAAGGCTTAAAGCAGTTTCGGGGAATCCATTGCGCCGCGCACAACGTGTGGTGGAGTTCAGGGAATGGCTTCTAAGACGGAGGAGCTGCTTCTTAGAAGGCGCCAGGCCTTTACATTACAGATACGGCCCGCGCCTTCTAAGAAGCAGGGGTGCTTCTAAGAAGCCCTCCCCCTCCCCCCACCCCCCCCTGCGCGTGGCTGCATCAGAACGCCAGCACCTGCCCGCACCTGCTGCCGCCGGACCGTGCCCTGGGGCCTCGGGGAGCAGCAGCTGCGGGACATCTGCCCGCCCGCGCGGGCGCGCAGAGGTCCGCAGCCACCCCTCCCTGGAGGTCCCATGGGCCACGGCCCCGCGGGCAGCGGGCGTGGACATCTCCTGGCGGCGGAGCCGAGGGGGCTTCAGATTGGAAACCGACCGGCAGCGAAGGGCAGCCCCGGAGATCGTTCCTGCCTCCGGCAGGGAACGCCGCAGCGCCCTGCTTTCAGCCGGCAGCTTCAGAACTGCCTCCCAGCACGTGTGCCGACAGGCTCTTCAGAAGCTCCTTCGGAAACTCCTTCCCAATGCTTCCAGAGCTCTTTCCAAAGGCTTCTGGAAGGCCTTTCTGGCGCGCCGCTATCAGGGCTTTGGACCCCGCAATGCGAACCCTCGGCCGATCAGCGCAGTAACAGCATCCTGGTCACCTTCAATTCGCGCTCCACGTTGCGCGACGCGCGGTTGTCCTCGCGCTTTCTGATGCAACCCCCTGGAGGCAGCTCCAACTCAGAACCTGAGCTGCCGTTGCTCTGCGCTAGTGGGCGGGACAGTGATCTTCGCAATCTTCACCTCGATCTCCTGGAATGTGAAAACGGTGGTCCACACCTGCACCAGACCTTCCTCTTCGCCCTGGAAATATACCCTGCACCAGACCTTCATCTTCGCCCTGGACATATACTGCCAACTGCCAGAATTTCTGGCACAACACGGGTGGCCGAATCCTAGCCTGGCGCTGCTCGGGTCCTCTCGTCTCCTTTTGCCTTCTCGTCTCCTCTACAGTGGAGGCCCATGCCAAGAAACACCCTGCTTGCCTCCAAGGTGCTCTGGGTTTCTTCGGTTTCGATGGTTTTGCGATGGAAAGCGCGACTTTCCCACACCAAAAATCAACGGACGTCCTGTGGACTCAGGGTTGGGTTTCTTGTGGAAGGTTTCTTGTGGTCGGGCCCCTACGTAGTCCTCTCCTCCGGCCCTCTCCTGGGGTCCTCTCGTCTCCTCTGCTCCTCTCGCCTCCTCTGCTCCTCTCCTCTGGCTGCTCTCGTCCCCTCTGGTCCTTCTCGTTCTCCTCCTCGTCCTTCTCCTTCTCCTCCTTCTCCTCCTCGTCCTCCTCCTCTCCTCTTCCACCTCCGCTCCGAACCCAACGCGAATCGAAATCTGTCTGGGGCGAAGGGTGGCTCTGGAGCAAACAGGTCGTGCCACGGAGTCCACGACGGATATGCCTCCCTGAGACACGTCCTCGAGCCAAACCCTCCCTTGAGCCCCTCGCCAGCGTCCCAGCATCTCTCCTCGCCCCTCCTCCTCCTCACCTCCTCTCATCCTCGCCCTCGCCACCGCTCCTCTCCGTCCTCGGCCCTCCTCCTCCCCGCCCTCCCCCTCCCTCCCCGTCCTCCCCTTCGCCGTCCTCGCCCTCCCCCGCCCCCTCCCCCCTCCTCGTCCTCCTGCCTCGTCCTCGTCCTCCTCGTCCTCCTCCCCCTCCTCGTCCTCCTGCCTCGTCCTCGCCCTCCTCGTCCTCCTGCCTTGCCCCCCTCGTGGCGCGAGGAGGCGCGCCGGCGGCCCCGCCTCGGCGGCGCCCGGCGGCGCCGGTGCGCCGCGCGCCGCGCCAGTGCGCCGGACCCTGGAGGTGCCCCGCCTGGAGGGGCGGCGGGGGGGTGGGCGGCGCAGGGCCTGCGCCCTCCTCCTCCTCCTCCTCCTCCTCCTGCTTCTCCCTTCATCTCCTCCTCCTCCTCCTCCTCTTCCTCCTCCTCCTCCTCCTCTCCATCCTCCTCCTCCTGCTCCTGCTCCCTGCTCCTGCTCCTGCTCTGCTCCTGCTCTCCTCCTCCTCTGCTCCTCCTCCTCCTCCTCTCCTCTTGGTCCGCCCTCCTCCTCCTCTCCTCCTCCTCCTCTACTCCTCCCTCCTCCCTCCTCCTCCCTCCTCCTCCTCCTTCCTCCTTCTCCATTTCCCCCCTTTTTTTTCTCCTCCTCTCCTTCCTGCCCTCCTCCCTCCTCCCTCCTCCCTCCTCCTCCTCCCCTCCTCCCTGCCTCCCTCATCCCTCCTCCCTCCTCCCTCCTCCCTTCCCTCCCACCCTCCCTCTCCCCTTCCTCCCTCCTCCCTCCTCCTCCTCTCCTCCTCCCTCCTCCTCTGCTCCTCCTCCTGCTCCTCCTCTCCTCCTCTCCCCTTCCTCCTCTCCTCCTCCTCCTCCTCCTCCGCCTCCTTCTCCTCCCCCTCCCTTTGCCTTTTCGTATTCTTCTCCTCCCCCTCCCTCTCCTTGCCGGGGCACTCCCCCTCCTTCTTGTGGTCGCGGCTCGGACCCTGGCACTTCAAGGAAGGGAGTCTCGCACTGTTTTTTATTTTGTCCATAGGCAAGCCACTTCTCTTTGATTCATTCCCCGCGGAGCGGGCGGCGGGGGGGGGGGGGGGTCCCGGAGGGGGCTTGGTCCCAGGGTGGGGGGTCCCGAGGGGAGGTCCGGGGAAGGGTCCCGGGGGGGGGGGTCGGGGGGGGGTCCCGGGGGGGGGTCCCGTCAGAATACCACCCTCCCGGGGTGGAACGGGAAAGGCCTAGGCAATAATGACAACGTCAGATGTCTGAGACCGGGGATTCCCAAAATCCCCGTTGCCTGCCATCCACCGTGGCACGAGTGGGTAATCAGCGCGGTGGTCCCGCCCAAGGGCGGTGGTGCCCACAAACCGATGGTCTTCGAACACTTCCTTCGTGCTCTTTCCCCTGCTCTTCCGCTCCCCCCCCCCCCTCCTCCCCCTCCCCGTCCCCCGCCCCCCCCCCTCCCCCCGCGCCGCCCACTCCCGCCCCGCCCTCCCCGTTCGGACGTCATCGTCAGCATTGAAGGGCCGTCCGAGAGATGGCGAGGATAACAGCAATGAAGGTGATGCTGATGCTGATGCTGATGCTGATGATGCTGATGATGATGATGATGATGATGATGATGATGATGATGTTGCTGCTGCTGATGATGATGATGCTGCTGCTGACGATGACGATGACGATGACGATGCTGATGATGCTGATGATGATGATGCGGATGATGATGATGCTGCTGACGAAGATGATGATGATGATGATGATGATGATGATGATGATGACGATTACGATGAGGATGACGATGACAATGACAATGACAATGATGACGATGATGACGATGATGACGATGATGACGATGATGATGCTGATGATGCTGATGATGCTGATGATGATGATGATGCTGATGATGCTGATGATGCTGCTGCTGCTGATGATGATGATGATGATGATGATGGTGCTTCATCGTTCGGACGTCCACTTCCAGTGCATTTGTCGGTTTCGCACGCGTGCTTCTCGCAAGGTGGTCCAAAATCTTCCTCGGTGGCTTTCGCCTCCAAAACACAGCCCCGTCCGAACGGTGCCGCGTCCTCCTCGTCCGCCCTCCCAGGGTCCTCCCGCGTGCGTGCTCTGCTCCTCCGCCCGCAGCTCCTCTGCCTATAGCTCCTCCTCCCTCTCCGTGATCGACTTCTCCCGCTCCTCCTCCGCACCGCCCGGGGCGGGCCGAGAAGCGCAGGGACGGGCGGGGAGGCTGGGGCGGGGGGGGCGGGGGGGCCTCTCAAGGTCGGACGAAAGTGGGCGACAGCAGATGGGAGGTTGGCAAGCGGTCATCTGGTCTTTTTCCGGCGCCCCCGCACGGCGGAAACGCCGAACTATCTATCTGAATACGTAGATGTATGTACATAGTTCGCCGGCGTGGACCCCAAGCAGTGCGTCTAGCAATCTACGATGTGCAGTATCTGTGCTGCAATTTAAGTGATGCAATCTATGTTGAGCAATCTATGTGGTGCAATCGATGTGCTGCAATCTAGGCGGTGCCATTATTGCGGTGCATCATAGATGGTGCAATCTACGTCGTGCGACATATGTTGTGCAACATATGTGGTGCAATCAATTTGGTGCAGTTTATGTGGTGCCATTCATGTGGTGCAGCATATGAGATACAGTATATGTGATGCAAACGATGTAGTGCGAATTGTGCAGTGCAGCAATCCATGTGGAACAATCGATATGGTGCAATACATGTGGTTCAACCGATGCGATACATCCGGTGCGGTCTAGTGCAATATGCGGTGCAATACATCCGGAGCGGTCTATGTCGTGCAATCTATATACTCTGCAGACTTTTTGGTGCGACCCGTGATGTGCAGCCTACGTCGTGCAATCTGTGCAGTGCAGCAAAGGTCGTGCAGTCTGTGTGATGCCATCTGTGCGGTGCAATCTATGCGAGGCGGCGGCGGGCGGCGACGGCGACCACGGAGCCGCCCGACCAGCCGCCGGGCCCCGCCGACGGGCGAGGCGACGAGGCGGCGACGGGGCGCCGACGGCGACCGCGGAGCCGCCCGACCAGCCGCCAGGCCCAGCCGACGGGCGGGGGGGTGAGGCGGCGGCGGGGCGCCGACGGCGACCACGGGGCCGCCAGACCAGCAGCCAGTTCCAGGCGACGGGAGGCGACGAGGCGGCGACGGGGCGGCGACGGCGACCACGGGGCCGCCCGACCAACCGCCAGGCCCAATTCCCTTGCAGCACAGGCCGGCGACGGCGACGGCGACGGGGCGGCGACGGCAACGGCAACCGGACGGGGCGGCGACGGCGACCACGGGGCCGCCCGACCAACCGACAGGCCCAGTCCCCTTAGAGCAACACGCAGGAATCGAAACTTGCCAGCACAGCTCTGGGAACATCAAATGCAAAGCAGCGCGCAGACACGCAAAGCAATCAATGCCAAACCAATACACATCAATGCACCGCAACGAAAACCAATGCGATGCAATGAAAGGCGGGCCAACGCAATGCAAAGCAATGCAACACGATGCAACGCAACGTAAGCCAATGCAACCCCAGAACGGCCCACGAGGCCCCCAAGACGGCCCCAAGACGGCCCCCAGAGGGCCCAAGAGGCCTCCAAGACGCCCAAGATGGCCTCCAATACGGCCCTGGAGCACCCCAAGAGGGTTTCCTATCGGCCCAGAGAGGCCCCCAAGACGGCTTCCGACTGCGTCGAACGGGCCAGGAATGCCCTGAGACGGCCAGAGAGGCCTCCAAGAAGCCCCCAAGAGGCCCATGGAAGCCACCAAGAGGCCTCCAAGACGCCCCCAAGAATATCCCAAGAGGCCCCAAAAGTGCCCCCAGAGGCTTCCAAGATGCACCGTCCTCCTCCTCTTCTCCTCATCCTTCTGCTCCTCCTCCTCCTCCTCCTCCTTCCCTTCCTCCTCCTCCTCCTCCTCCTCTTCTCCTCCTCCTTCTGCTGCTACTCCTCCTCCTCCTTCTCCTCCTCCTCCTCCTGATCTTCCTCGCCATCCTCCCCCAAGTGTTCCCCGAAGGGTTTCCACAACGGCTTGGGGAACACATGGTCCGATAGCTTGGCAGAGCTTCTGCCACAACGCTCGGACACATGGGCGCTCCCCCACGCGTTCGCCGAAAGCTCTCCAAACCGACTCGGAGAACAACTGGCCCGATAGCTTTGCCAAGCTCTAGCCCAGCTGTCGGCCACATAGGCGCTTCCACAAGGGCAGAGGGCGGCGGTGACTCGCCGTAGGCGTCTTCGATCCGCCGCCCCCTGTTGATTTACCACAGGGGTGCCCAGAATGCTGAGCTGTAGCTGCTTGCTGGCTCTTTTTGAGACTCCCCGTGGGGCTTCGGCTTATTGTGTCGGCCGTCCCGAAGGCCGCACAACTTGCCTGGATGGTACCTTTCTCGCTCCCACACGGCCCTAGATGGCCTCCAGGACCGCCATGATTGCCCCGAGAGGGCCAAAGATGGCCCCAAGATGCACCCAATACCCAAGACGGCCCAAACTGTACCCAAGCCCAAGACGACCAACGACGACCTCAATATGGCCCAAGACTGCCCAAGAGGCAAGCATCATTGATTTTCCTCAGGTTTTTGAAAGATGGTGGCTTTTGCTTCTTTTCGGCTTTCCGACGGCCCAAGAGGCCCCCAAAGATCGCCGTAAGATTGCCCAAGAAGCCTCCCAGATGCCCAATCACGGCCCGAAAAGCCTCCAAGGCGGCCCAAGAAGATCCCAACACGGCCCCAGAGGCCCCCCAAGACGCCCAAGATGGCCTCCAAGACGGCCCAAGGCGCCCCACGAAAGCCCCAGATGGGACCAGATGGGAGGAAGCTCCAAGACGGCCCAATATGCACCCAAGACTGTCCAAGATGGCCTCTAGATTGCCCGCGACGGCCCAAGAGGCTCCAAAGAGGGCCCAAGAGGCCTCCCAGACGTCCAAGATGGCCTTCAAGACGACCTGGAAGCACCTGAAGAGGGCCCCAAGACGGCCCAGAGAGGCTCCCCAAACGGCTTCCGACGGCGTCAGACGGGCCAGGAACGTCGTAATTAAGACGGCCAAAGGGGCCACCAAAAGGCCCCGGCCCAAGGAGGCCCCTAAGAGGCCTCCAAGAAGCTCCCCCAGGAGGCCCCAAGGACGACCCCAAAAAGCTCCCCAGAGGTCTCCTCATCCTTCTGTTTCCTGCCTCTCCTCGTTCTTCTCTTCCTCCCCCACGTGCTCCCCGCAGGGCTTCCACAACGGCTGGAAGAACGCATGGCCCAATGGCGTGGCCAAAGCTTGCCCGAGCGTTCAGCCACAGAGGCGTATCCTACACAGACATGTGGCGGCGGTGAGTCGCCGCATGCGGCTGCGATCCCCTGTAGCTTGGCATGCTGAACGTTCGGTAGTTGTTGGTCCTTCTCAGCAAACTCCCAGGGGCCTTCGGCCAAATCCGCCGGCCACCCGGAAGGCTGGGGAACTACCGAGAGAGTCGCCTCCAAGATGGTCAAGATGGCCTTTAAGACCAAAAGTATTGCCCCAGGGGAGCCTTATTTGGCCCCAAGACGCCCCCAAGACAGGCTGAGATTCCCCCAAGATGGCCTCAAGATCGCCCAAGACGGCCCAAGAGGCCTCCGAGACGGCCCAAGAGGCGACCTTCAGGAAGGTCCGAATGAACATGCCAAAATCGCAGAAGTTCTGTAGGTTTTTGAGATGTTCTGGCGTTTGCCAAGTTTCGGCTTTCTGAAAGCCCCAGATGGCCCCGGAGGCCATCAAGATGGCTCCAAGAGCGCCCACGAGGCCTTCGAGATGGCCTCCTGACGGCCCAGGAGGCCCTCAAGACAGCCCCAAGGAGGCCCCAAGACGAGACCTCCAAGACTCCCAAGATGGCTTCCAATAGGCCCCAAATCGGCCCAGAGAGGCCCCCAGGACGGATTCCGACGGCATCAGACGGGCTAGGAACACCCTTAGACGGCCAAGGAGCCTCCCAAGGAGCCTGCCTCCACAGGCCCCCAAGAGGCCCAAGGAAGCCACCAAGAGGCCTCCAAGACGCCCCCAGGAAGATCCCAGCAAAAAAGCCCCAAGAAGCTCCCAAGAGACCTTTCCGTCCTCCTCCTCCTCCTCCTTCTCCTCCTCCTCCTTCTCCTCCTCCCCCTCCTCATTTTTCCTCCCTTTCATCCCTTTCTTTTTTCTTCCCCTCGTGCTTCCTGGAAAGTTTCCACACCGTCTGGGGAACATATGGTCCCGTACTTCGGCCGAGCTACGGCCGCAACGTTCGGCCACATAGGCGCTTCCAAAAGACAGGGGGCGGCGGTGATTCGCCGTATGCGTCTTCGATGATCTCGTTCATCCTTCATACAGCCGAACATCACACGACAACAATCAAGGAGACACCGCACATAACGTAACGCATGGTAATGATATATGTTGAGCTCCCAATCATGTTCAACTACAGTGCACCCCAGCGGGTTAGAATTGCCCAGGCAACCCGTTGCAATCCACTAGCAACTCAAGTCGCGTGCACGATCATCCAAAGAGGGAAGAGAGAACGTCCTCCTCATGATCTTGATCACTCTCTTCCTCCTCCTCCTCCTCCTCCTCTCCTACTCCTCCTCCTCCTCCTCCTCCTCCTCCTCCTCCTCCTCCTCCTCCTCCTCCTCCTCCTCCTCCTCTCCTCCTCTCCTCCTCCTCCTCCTCCTCCTCCTGCTCCTGCTCCTGCTCCTGCTCCTGCTCCTCCTCCTCCTCCTCCTCCTCCACCTCCTCCTCCCCCATCCAAAAACCTGTGCCACCGCGGCCCAACGGCACTCCGGGGGCTGCCCGCAGCAAGTCGGTCAGGGTTTGCCACTCTGTCCGAGGCCATCCTCCTCTTGGGGCGAGCCTGACTGCTCAGGCTCGGGCAGAAGGTGGATGGCGCCAGAGAGAAACGGCGCGACGCGCGTGCCACCTCCGTCACCGCATACCCGAGCCAGTGCGCCGCGTCCTCCTCCCCCTCCTCCCCCTCCCCCTCCTCCTCCTCCTCCTCCTCCTCCTCCTCCTCCTCCTCCTCCTCCTCCTCCTCCTCCTACTCGTTCTCGTCTTCCTCCTCGCCCTCCTCCCTCCTCCCCTTGGCGGTGCGCAGAAGGGGTAGGGGGAGTGGGGCAGGCTTCCTAGACGGCAGCTGCTCCTCAGAGGGCCCGTGACTTACATCTATAGGCAATGCCCGCGCCTTCTGAGAAGCTTCGGTGTTTCTCCGAAGCTTTCCCTCCTCCCCATGCCCCACTCTGCGCGTGGCTGGTCCCCTCCCTCTTCCCCTCCTCCCTCCCCCTCTCGGGCGGGTGGTAATCAGGAGTGAGCTCAATGGGGGGTGCAGAAAGGGGCCCTAAAGGAGCTCCTTTTGGAGCCAGCAAGTGCCCCAAAGGTGCCCCGTAAGGGCCCCTTGCGGACCCTCTTCTCCACCCCCCCAATTTGGGTCAGCCCCCATTACCAGTAGGTCGGGCGTGTCCTCCTACAGGCGGATTCTGGACGGAAAATTAAAACTACTCAGAACATATCCAACCATAGAAAAGAATGGTAACACAAATCTCCCCCAGACTATTTTTGAACATTCCCCCTGTAGAGAGACACGCCCGACTTAACATTACCAAGCGCCCGACCTTCCCACTCCTCCTTCCCCCCCTCACCCTCTGCTCTGTTGCAATGCTTCGTGATGCAATTCTTCACTGCGCAACGCCACGCCATGCTATTATGACATACTACACTCTGCCATGCTCTTTCTACGGCCTGCTATGCCGTGCTCTACACGACGCACCGCGCACCCTCTCGGGATCAGCGCACTGCTCGGCATCTGACTGTGCGAATCTAGAGAGAAGATCTGCGCCATGGTAAGGGATGGGAGGGAGTGGTAGACCGTCAGATACGACGCGAGCGCACCTGGCTTGTCTACCTCTTTGGTTGACCCACAAGGGGGTCCAGCTGAAAGGGGGTGGTGCAATAGATTTGGGGGAATTGTATTGCAAATGTATTGCGCCGGAGAATTGTATTGCATTGTATTGCAGCGAACATGTTGCACGCGAAATCCGGCAATACATTTGCGCACTGGAATGTGCCCCAACCCCGCAAATCTATTGCACTACATCTATTGCACCACCCTCTTTTCGCTGGGCTAGGGGAACACAAAGTGGCATAAACATAAAAACTCGGAGGCCCGCGCGGATTTCTCGCATCGGCGCTGGACCCCCCTCCCTGGCGCGCGCCGGAGGCGCCGCCGCCGGGCCCCAGCGCCGATCCGAGAACTCCGCGCGGACCTGCGAGTTCTTATGTTTATGCCACTTTTTGTTCGTTCCCCTATGGACCCCCTCTTTGGGTCAACCAGAGCCTCCCCCTCCCCCTCTCGGCTACACGCAAGAGTGACCCTGGGTAAGAAAGACCTTTGGTGCGCGGCTCGTTGGGGGGCGCGGGGGGACCAAACCTGGGCGCGCAGGCCGCTGCTCCTGCTTCGTGTTCAGCCATCTGGGGACCCATCTCTGCCCGCACTCAAAGGTCACTCCGGCGAAAGGTCACTCTTACGTCTAGTCGACCCTCCCCGATCGGCCCCCAAAGGAGCGGCCTCCCGGGCGCGGCTGCTCTGCTGGGCGACGCCCGCGCGCCCGCGGGCGCGCCGCCGGGCGGCTCTGCCGCGGCCTCGGCCTGGCACGGCCTCTCCCTCCGGCACCTCCGCCTTCCCCCTCCTCCCTCCTCCTCCTCCTCCTCCTCCTCCTCCTCCTCCTCCTCCTCCTCCTCCCCTCCCTCCTCCTCCTCCTCCTCCTCCCTCCTCCTCCTCCTCCTCCTCCTCCCCCCTCCTCCTCCTCCTCCTCCTCCTCTCCTCCTCCTCCCTCCTCCTCCTCCTCCTCCTCCTCCTCCTCCTATCCTCCTCCTCCTCCTCCTCCTCTCCTCCTCCTCCTCTCCTCCTCCCTCCTCCTCCTCCTCCTCTCCTCCTCCCCTCCTCCCTCCTCCTCCTCCTCCTCCTCCTCCTCCTCCTCCTCCTCCTCTCTCCTCCTGCACCTTCGCCTTCCCCCCTCCCCAGCCTTACGTCGGGCCTGTCCTCCTACAGGGGGATCTTGGCCGCAACATGGAAAATAGTCAAAGATACAACAAACATGGCCAACACATGCTCCAAACATCGTCCCCAGATAGTTTTTTGACGATTCTTATAATTCCCTTCTGTAGAGGGACAGGCCCGACTCAACCCCAGCCCCCCAAATCCGACGCCCCCCAAAACTTGGAGCGGCGAGGTTCTGACAGATGTTGGCCTCTGGGGGCCATCGCTGGGCCTTGGGACCGTCAAACCCTCGACGATGGGGATCAACGTGAACACTGCTCTCCTGTCTCCCCGGGCCCTGCCTGGGGCCCCTCGTCTTCGGCCGCACATGGTGCCCCCCCCCTTATGGGCCCTGGAAGCGGCAGGGCCGTTTTTCACCGTTTCCCCAAAAATGTCCCTTGAAAATGGAAACGGCAGAAAAGCGGCGACCGGAAACGGCAACAAAAACGGCTCCAGGACTGGAACCGGAGTTGGAACCGGTCAAAAAACGGCGACGGAACCGGTAATAAAAAAAACGGCGTCGGAACCGGCAACAAAACGGCAAAACGGAACCGGTAAGAAAACGGCCCTGTCGTTTCCAGGGCCTACGAAGCCCCCCCCCCCGCAGAAGACTGTCTCCCGATAGCGCCGCTCCCGGGGAGATGAGGCGGGCTTTCTGGCTGGGGTTTCGCCACGCTGGCGCCCGCGCCCGCTCGTGTGAAGGGGCCCCAGGACACACAAATAAATACACACAAATAAAAAGATTCCCATATTTTCCAATATTGTTGGGGTTTTTGTCTTCCCCCCCACTTCCCATATTTTCCCATATTCTCTGGGGAATCGAGGATTTATTGTGTCTGTGTGTTTCTTTTCCCCCTGAATATGGTGCCCCCCCCCCCCCCGCATGAGACTTTCTCCTCCCGATAGCGTCGCTCCTGGGGAGAGGAGGCGGGCTTCCTGGCCGGGGCTCCGCCCCGCGGGCGGCGCCCGTGCCCGCTCGTGGGCGCCCCGTGGGCCGGGTGGGGGGGCCTCGAAGCTCTTCGGAGCGGCCGCGCCCGTGCCTCCGCTCGGGGGCGCCTCCCGGGAGGCCCCGCTCGCTGGGGGCGTGCCTCAGGGCGTCGCCACGTTCGCGCCCCGACGCGCCTGGTATTCAGAGGAGGGAAAGGTACCCATACCTCTACCCTTTTTGGGCCTACTGGGCCTCCGTCGTCGCCACCGCTGGACTCGCCTCGAAATCCTGTCTAGGGGGCAAACAAACCTACCTCGCGTTTGACCACCCTCGCTTCCAAGAGATACCGAGCGGTGCCAAACTGCGGCATGTACTGGTCAGGCCGCTTGACGAGGAGGCGGATGGCATGAGTTGGTTTTGCCTGGAAGCGAAAGCGGGGTAGGTAATTCACGCTCTGAGTGTCTCAGGGCTTCGCCACGTTCGCGCCCCGACACGCCTCGTGGGCGCACCATCGCTTGCACCGCGGAGCGCACGCTCCACAGAGCTCGCGCCACGTAGCCTGTCGGTGGCCGGCGGGGCCCGCTCTCAGGGCTCGGGCAGGGAGCATATGGGCTATCATACTGTCCGCCGCGCTTCCCGCCGGCTCTGTGAGCGCGGCGCCTGCTGCGCCAGAACGCGCTGGCTGGCCCCTGAGGACCAGCGCTGCCGGCCAAGGAGTTGAAAGACTCTCGGAGGACGGCCGTATGGGTTGTGGGGCGGACGTCGCCCGAGCACGAGCCACCCCCTCTGGTGAAGCACGCCCCACAGCTCGGACGGGCCGTGCGCAGCCAAGGCGCACCCCCTGTCAGGATCCCTCACACAGGAGGCCCCCAACGTAGCAGGAAATAGCCCAGGACAATCCTCCTCCTCCTCCCCCTCCCTCTCCTCCCTCTCCTCCCTCTCCTCCCTCTCACCTCTCATCCCTTTCCTTACCCGCCGGTCGGAAGAAGTGGGTAGAAGCATGAAGTAGGGAAGCGCTGGAAGTAGATTAGGCTTCCGCCCGCCCCCTGAAGGGGAGGGAAGCGGAAAAGCAGCCCGATCCTTGAAGTAGGAGGGCGCGTCTAGTAGATGACCCAGTTACATACTTTCAACAGCCGAAATCATTGAAAGTATGTGTTCTATCCTCCTCCTCCTCCTCCTCCTCTTCTTCCTCGTATCCGAGCTGATCGCTCAAAAACTGCTTCCACGCACTCACTGAACTATCGAAGATGGCATCAAGAACAAGGCCATAGTGCGGCCCCCAAAAAACAGCTTCGAGAGGGCCCAACTATGGCCTAAGAGGGCCACTGGCTGTGCCTACACAGCCGTGGCATCAGTTGAATCAAGTTTCTTTGACCAGTAGATCTCTGATCTCTCTCGGCATTTCGAACGCGGCACACAACTTTCGGTGTTCGGCGGACAAGTGTCGGTCCCTGTACGGCTTGCAGCCCTGTTTCTTCAATCATGGACCAGGCGCTATACTCTGCGCTCAACCCTACAATCATCGCGCGGAATGCGCCTTCGCGCGGAGTAGGTACTACTCCGCCTACTCCGCGGAGTCGCATTAATTGTGGGCCAGGACTGGTGAGCACGTTCGTCACGGCAAAGTAGGACGATTCATTCATGAAGAGCCTCCAGGTGGCTCAACACTGCCTCCACGACGGCAAACCATCCCTCATATGGCCACAAGAGGCACACAAGAGATCCCAAGAGAAAGGAACCAGCACAGAAAAAAGGCCTCCAGATATCTCCAGACAGCCAGCATCATTGATTCCGTCCCCTCACTCTCCCTCTCTCTTCCATCTCGTTTTATTCTCTGAGGGAGCGCGTTTCAGCGGCGCTCGGCCAACATTGCATGCACATGAGTTTTCGGAGGTCCGAGCGGACTTCTTGGATCGATGCTGGACCCCCCTCCCTGGCGCGCGGAGCGTGCCAAGGGCGAGAGGCGCCGCTGGGGGAGCCTCGACGCCGATTCGAGACATCCGCGCGGAGCTCCGACAGTGCATGTTCGTGCAATGTGTTGTTTCTTCGATTCACCTCGTATCTTAAGCAGTAAAAGCACTCCCAACCCTCTGGGTGGGAACCTGCGTGAGGAGGGCCAGACACACATTAGGGATAAAAAGGGATCTTTTCTGCAGAGGTATCGAACCACGCCGCTCATACGTGTTGACCCTAATGCGAGGACGGGGACCTAAGTGAGGCCACGTCTTCAGCGTGTGATTCGGCTTAGGGGTTCTTCTGTTCTCGATGACCGTGCGCGCGCTAGGTCGGGCGTGTACCCCTACAGGCGGATTTCGGACGACAGATAGAACAAATCCTTCACATGTTCAAGAAGGGTCAAACATAGTCCAGCAAACATCGTCCCCAGACTACTCGACCACCTGGGAAGACCCCCGCTCTGTAGAAGGACACGCCCTTAGTGGGCCCTGGAAACGACAAAGCCGTTTTTTTACGGGTTCCGTTTTGCCGTTTTTGTTGCCGGTTCCGACGCCGTTTTTTTACCGGTTTCGTCGCCGTTTTGCGACTGGTTCTGGCTCCGGCTCCAATCCTAGAGCCGTTTTTTTGCCGTTTCCATTTGCAAGGGACATTTTTCCGGAAACTATGAAAAAACGGCCCTGCCGTTTCCGGGGCCCACTAAGGACACGCCCGACTTGATACCTGCAACGCGGATCTCGCGCCCTCTGCCGGCACCTCCGCCCGCCCGCGCCCCCCCCCCCCCCCGGGTCGCCTGGAGCTTCCTCCCGACGGCCGCGAGCTGCGCTGCGTCGGCCGCCGCCCTCTGCAGGCCTGTGCGCCGCGGGAGCGCTCCGCACTGCCAAGACTCGGCGGCGTGCGGGGGGCGGGGGGAAGCGCGAGAGAGAGGAGGCCTCCTCTCGGAGGGCGGCGGGACTTCTCAGACGCCCTCGCGCCCTGCGTCTTGGGGAAGGCCTGGAACGCTTCTCAGAAGGCTGGGGGGCCGGGGGGCCTCCGAGCGAGCCTTTCCGAGAGGGCCTTCTCCTTCTCACCTCCACCCCAGGCTCGCCGCCGATCAGATCCCGAACAGCTTCTTACCCACGGCACGGACTTCTTTTCGCCGAGGGCTCCAGTCGGCGGAGAACCCCGGGGTGCGAAGGCCCGAGGGGTGTCTTCCAGGGGCGAGACGAGTACATGCGTGAAGTGCGATTGTGAAGGGGGCCTGGGACACACTAATAAATAGATACAATTAAAAGGATTCCCCATATTTCCCCATATTTTTTGTGTTTTTGTCTTCCCCCCACTTCCCATAACCTCATCAAACTATTAAGGACTCCCCCGGGGTTATCCTTAGCACCGCACCGTAAGTAAATAATTCTGGGGGGCGGTTTTCGCCGAACGATATAGTTAGCACCGCGCAAATGAACGAAAATAACAAATTCCCGCGCCCTGGCTCGGGTGATATCCCAATTGGAATTGGAATTGGAATGCAAATAAGGAAAACATGACATGCGAGTAATAATACGATTAAAAACATAATACTAATTAATAAAACACCTAATAATGATAAGAGTGAGGGTGATAACAATAATAATAAGAGTCGGAACAATAATAACATTACTAATAATACGAATAATAATCATAATCCGAATACTAAGGCGGATACTCATAATGATATGATAAGAATAATGATGCTCAAAATCCTAATCATACTAATATCAATAGTGGTATTTTCTAATTATCTTCATCATCCTTGTCCTATACGATTTGTATTACCACCCCTGTTGAACACATTGTTTTCTCCTGGCCGTCTTGTGGGGTCGTGCATCCGAGGATATCGCCCCCGCCACGCACGGCGCGTTATCTTAGCACCGCACCCGCACACAATAATTACGACAGCGTGTCAAAACAGACAATAAGTACAATAAGACCAATAACCATACTAATACAACTAATAATCAGACTACGACTCATAATACACCGAATGATAATAATAACACTGACAATACTAATGATAAAGAAACTAAGAACAATAAGAATGATAAGAGTAGGAGTCATAACAATAAGAGTAACACTAAGAACAATCATACTATAAACCACTACGAATTATCATAACCATAAAACGGATACGGATGTCAACAACATCATAATACGGCTACTATTAAAAACGAAAACTAATAATACGGACTATCAAGATATTAACACCAATGCATAATAATAATGATAAGGGTAAGAGTAAGACTACTACCCATAAGGGTGTTAGTAAGAGTAGTAATGATATTAACCACAAGGATAATAATCAGAACCCGAATACTAATACTGCTAATTATAAGAAAAAACCCGTAGTAATAATAATAATACTAGTAGTACTAATAACAATTCGACTACTCGTACTACTACTACTACTACTACTCACAAGAACACTCATGGCACGAATAAGAAACACGAGCTTGGCCTCATTAACTTCATCATCCTTGTCCTATACGATGTGTATTGCCACCCCTGTTGAAACATTTGTTTCTCCTGGCCGTCGTGTGGGGTAGTGCATCCGAGGATATCTCCCTCGTCACGCACGGCGCGTTATCTTAGCACCCGCACCGCCAAACTTATTCGCTCCCCATCGTAGGCACGGACGGTTCCTTTTCAAAACTGGGCTCTCCCTTGAGTGGGACTTAATGTTGTTATTGTTGGTGTTGGCGTTCTTGGTGTTTTTGATGTTGATGCTGTTGTTGGTGTTAACGGCCTTGTTGATCTAGATGTGAGTCTTATTGCTGGCATTATTGTCGTGGTTCGTGTTGGTGCAGTGACGTAAGGGAGTCTTGAGGAGGAGGAGGATTGTTTCTGCTTAGCTGGGCCAAGGTCTCTGGACTGAGGCCTTGGCCCTCGGCTTGATCCGTAATGGCGAATACAAACCAAACTATTGCGAGAATGTCTCAGGCGGTGTGCTTGCTTCGGCGAGCAGACTCGTCTGCGTTCACGTAAAGGTGCGAGGTCCCAGGGTAACGTTTCTGGGGTGCTGGTTGCATTATACTTTCGCCAGAGAGAAGGGGGGTTCTTAATTGCAACTCCGGGTTATTCTCCCATATTCTCTGGGGAATCGACGATTCATTGTGTCTGTGTGCTTTTTCCCTCCTGAGACTTACCGATTGGGGGGAGTGGCCGCGCATCTCTGGGAACGAAGAAAGCCAGGGCATCTTGACCAACACCATGCGGTTTCTTGGTGCGCGTCCCCACCGTAGCACGGACGCTCAGCCGGGTTCAAGAGAGGGTCTCCGCCGCCCCCCCCTCCCTGGGGCAGGGCTGAATGCAAGGGGGGAAGATGTACAGCGACCTACGCTTCGTCGATGCTTCTGAATGGGCGGCTCCCTGACGAGCCCAGCCCAGCCATCCCTCCCAAACACTGCTGGACTGCAAGACGGACGAGTGAGAGGGGACGAGGAGGAGGAGGAGGAGGCTTAAGAGGAGGAGGAGGAGGAGGAGGAGGAGGAGGAGGAGGAGGGGGAGGAGGAGTCTTAAGAGGAGGAGGCGGAGGAGGAGGAGGAGGAACCCCGACACGAGCGAGGAGGCTTTACACGCGACTCCACGGAGTCGACGCGCAGCACCCCCCTGCCGCTCGAGAGCGGCGCGGCCGAGTCATCCCGGCGGGGAGCGGAGGGGAGCAGGGCGGGCAAGACACGCCGAGGCGGAGGCCCAGGATCGCCCTGCAGCGCCCGCCCTCGGCGGCCTGGGCGCGAACTGACGAGGGGCGATAAATGGGAGGGGGGGGGCAGGTGCCCCTTTCGGGCCCTAGCCTACCCCTTTTGGGCCCCCAGGGGCTCTTTTTGGGGCCCTCAGCTGGGTGGGGACAGGTTCCCTTTCTGGGGCCCCCAAGGGCCTCTTTCGGGGCCCTCAGCAGGAAGTGGGGGGAAAGGTGCCCCTTTCGGGCCCTGGCCTCCCCCTTTGGGGCCCCCAACAACATTTTTCGGAGCCCTCAGCCGGGGGGGGGGGGAAGCCTCCTCCTCCTCCTCCTGCTCCTGCTCCTGCTCCTGCTGCTGCTCCTGCTCCTGCTCCTGCTCCTGCTCCTGCTCCTCCTCCTCCTCCTCCTCCTCCTCCTCCTCCTCCTCCTCCTCCTCCTCGTCCCTCCCTCCCTCCCTCCCCTCCCCTCCCCTCCCCTTCCCTTCCCTTCCCTTCCCTTCCCTTCCCTTCCCTTCCCTTCCCTTCCCTTCCCTTCCCTTCCCTTCCCTTCCCTTCCTCCTCCTCCTCAGCCGCCGTTCGGGCTCCGGCTTTGTTTGGGCGCTGCTACCAGGTTGCTAGCGGCGGCGAGCTCGAGCAGGGACAGCTGCCAGACGCGCCGGCCCTTCTTTCCACGCGCGCCCCCAGACGCGCGCAGTGGGCCGACCGTGCTCAGATCCAGCCTCGGCCACGGCTCCTGCGAGAGGCAGAGGCATCGAACCATCGTGGCACAGAAAGGAGCGTGCGGAGCGCAGTCGAGCGCGCCACCTGATCCGACTGGCAACAGCAGCGCATGTGTTGAAAAGCAACCACGGTGCCTACAGAGACGAGACGCAGCCAGCAAACACGTGTGAATATCGAGATCGTTCTAGAAGACCGAACAGATCGCAGCAGCAGCAGCGTCCTCCATGGCACCATCAACAGCATCAAGTCCATCAGACAAAGCAGTTTCGCTACAAAAGACATGGACATGTCCTGCATGCTCATATGCGAACCCATCGGGGGCAACAGCTACGCAGACAGTGCCATCCGAGCAGATGTTTTGATCCCGCAGCATCTGTCTCAAACAGCAGTGGTTGGCAGAACAAAAGATCTCCCCGCACCGCCTCTCGAACAAGAGCACCTTCCAGCTCGAGGAGATCCTCATCCATGCAGCCAGCCACGACAGCATCGCCGCCATCAGATCTCGAAGAACAGCTCCCAATCATGCCTGCCAGCCCGGAGATCGCCATGTCGCACAGGCGATGGCAGAAGCCTCCGGCTGATCCACAACAGTTGGGAATTTTCAGAAGAGCGCTGAGTGACACTATGGACAGATTGGAGCGACAAATCAGATGTGCCACAAATCCGAATCTCGCCCCAGACCAGATCAATGAGCTCAAGGAAGAACATTCAGTCCAACTTTACCAGATGATCCACTCCAGATCTCCGCAGGTCAGAGTTTCCAAGCAGACTCAATGTGTCAGTCGATGCCGACGTCGCCTAGCAGATGCTCATGCCAGATACGCGGATCTGGAGATAGAATTAGAGGCGGCGCAGGCACAATGTGAAGATTTGCAGCAAGAACTCACAACAGCAGAAGAACTTCTTGAGCAATTCGAAGATTTGTCCAAGGAAGCCCAATAACAACGTGAGCCAAGAGGTCCAATACGCACGTTAGCATTCGACGAGGCAGGTGACGTAAACATGTCTGAGGATGAGGATGCAGCCCCGCTTCGTCGAGTGCGCAACCCGAGTGCTTCGCGTGCATCCCAGCAGCCAGTGCATCAGCCTCAGCAGCTCCATCAGCAGGTAGCGCAGCCTGGAGGAGCCCAACCTGGTGGAGTCACAGCAGCTCCATCAACTGAGGCCAGTACGAGTGCCACACCAGCTGTGTTGGCCGCACTACAATCTCAGAGTGCGTTACTCATCGAGTCAATGAAGCAGTTTCAGGAGACAGTCAACCATCTGCTGCAGGACATCATTAAGACCAGGACGCAGGATATGGAGAGCATCAAATCAGCGGCCATAGATGCGGCCATCACAGCATCCAAGTAGGCCAAGGCCAGGGCCATGACTCAAGCAGAAGAGCAAGTCGCAGCAAGTCGCGCCAAGCTTCGAGCAGCACTTCGAGGTGAGCTTCC